TCTTATGTATACCACCAATCGCCGGCATCGTCATCCTCATGGTCGTTGGACGCGGCGACTCGAATCGTGGTGTACTTCTTCTCGGATACTACGTAAGTCATGGCAACGCCAAGCATGCAACCTACTAACCCTGTGCTTGCAGCTGACGTCCTTCTATCCCGGCATTTCACCTTTGATTTATAGCTGGTCCGGCCAAAACACAGGAGGCGACACAAAACGCAAAGTGACGACAAGTATCCTCTTCGTCGGCGCCAGCGCAGGCAACATCATCGGCCCACAGCTCTTCAAACCGTCAGAAAAACCACACTACTACCGAGGCCTCCGCGCCAACCTCGCTCTCTTCATCGCGATCGTCGTCCTTATCCTGCTTGCAATGTTCTGGATCAAGCTTCTGAACCGGAAGCATGCGGCAACAAGAGAGAGTATGGGGAAGTCGGCCATTGTCGTCGATACCAGCATGGGTTCTGCGCGCGAGGGTGATGCAGAAGGAGCTGAGAACGCACAAGCCAGCGGCGTGGGCGATAAGGCGTTTGATGATGTGACTGACATCAAGAACGAAGACTTCATCTATGTATATTGATCAATGGGTCGACGCTCGAAGCACGACTTTCTAAAGTTGTGGCTTAGCTACAATATACACTGAACGTACATAAAACATTTGCTCCATTGGCATGTGCATGTAAACACTGTTGATACTTCCAGGGTATGCTTGACCGTCGGATTCACGCACCATGCACGGCTCTTGTATGGCAGCCTGCCTTCCACGCATGCCTTTCGTCTAGAACAAGCTGTCGATATTGACAAAGAGGTCTTGCCATCCGAGCGGCATATGTTTTAGATTGAGCCCAGGAAAGTCTGCAGAGGTGGACATACGAAGTCAGTATAGATTTCACAAGCGTGTCTGCAGTCCAAACTTACCCCACTCGAAGACGAACTCGCTGGGAACGTAGCCCTGGAACTCGTCTTCAGCTACACTGCTTCTCGCTCCCGCCATCGAAGAGTCCTGGTCGGGTATCTGTTCCGCAGCATACTCTCGGAGAGCAGCTTCACACTTCTCGATGCTGGTTTGCAAGATCTGAAAGTATGCGATGTGGCCCACGGTAACAGTCTTTAGCTCTTCCAGTACGCGATGCGCGTCGCTGAGCAGCGCCATGACCGAAGGTACCGGGTCGCGGAGGAGAATGGCTAACTTGAGGACCAGCAAGACTGAGACGGCGCACTTAGCCCAGACATAGTCGAGTGTCCAGCGAAAAGTACTGAGATACGTTGAGCCAGAGGTCGAGGCATGAGACACCGGCGATGAAGTTGGTGTTGACGATGACTGAAGCATGTAGTGAAGGTGTCGATTCGCTGCCTCCTTGGCTTTGCGTATGAAGTCGCGCTGGAATTCGGTCATGATCGCAATGTTCTCGATCCCGGAAGAGCCTACCGCCTTTAGGTACATGGTCATCGTCGCCCAAGCTTGCTGTATACACAAGTTCTGCAACGCAAGAGTCCGTTGATGTGGCGCTGGTTCGGTCAGAGCAATGTTGGTCCATTCATCGAGCCACAGTGACAGCTCAACACAAGCCTCCTCTACCGTAGTCCGGAGTTGGTCTTCGCTGTGTTGACCCATAAAGTCATTACTCCGGCCCATGATCTTTGTATAAGCTTCCGTGCGGATGATGTTGAGCTCCACTTGCGAGAGAAGGCGGATGTCGGTAGATGTACGTTCTGGGTGAGCTAATAGACATCTGATCTTTCGAGATGACATTTGAAGAGAAAGGCCCGGCAGTTTACCGCCATCTAGAGAGAAACTTGGATGTTTTTAGCAGCGCTCTCCGATCAGGCTAACACGATACTCACAAGAGCTCAAGATTGCAGATTCCAAGCCAAACTCTGGATAGACGGTAAAGCTCTTGCTCATGGGCGGTCACGATCCCGGAACGTGCGTGACTTTTGGCGATGAGCTGATCGACAACATGAGGTAGCCCAAGCTGAATGGCAAAGCGAAGGGCCATGGCCACCAGAACGAACGCGTTCTCCGAGTACGCAGCCACCAGTGCGATGGCCTGTATATCCTCTACTGTAGGGGTATTGGTGTTGATGAATAGGTCGGTAAATTGATCACGGACTCGAGTCTGGAGGCGGCCTAGATATGGGTGTACAGCGTCAGCATTCGTCTCATATGCAGTTCATACAGGAAAATTACTGACGATAGATTCTGGTGTTGAAACCTTCGGCAGCGCGACATCCAATACTGACTATGGCGTCAAAAAGGATTGGACTCCGTGAAGCCACTGATGCGATGTTGTCATGCCTCTCGCAAAAGATGGGCACGAGGTATTGCTATGGCTTTTAGTATGGTTCACCAGGTGAATCGGGGCTTTCATACACTGCCCGAGAAGAAACTTTGTAAAATCAGTGATCTGGGCTCGAGAGGTGCAGTGAGTTTGTCTACCTTTGATACCAGTGGACAGCCTGTTCCCATGTGATGAGACCTGCGTCAACGGCCGTTGCGTTGCACTTGGGCATAGACCGGAGTGCGACTTCTGGCACTGTCCCAGTCGCATCCTCCATGGGTAACTGCATTCATTATCATGGTCAGCTAGCTTTCCGCTGATTCGCGCAGGACACCACCTCAAATAAGGAGGAAACAGAACACCCTGGAGCTACATTGGCGCCAGATGTTCTGATTTGCCTCCTTTATCCTAGTGTAGTCTTCAGGCCTACGTACACTCTTGTCTTGATGTCGCTGGATGCGCATGTGTTCACGAAGTGCAGCCATCTCATTCTCGAGCCTTTCGATTCGCAACACATTTTCGTCCTTTACGGCGTCAAAGTATTGGCAAGTTGCGCCATTCCGGTCACATCGTTGGCAAGGGCGGTTCCCGTCGCATCGTACTTTGGACGTTCGGCAACTGACGCATGCATTGATGGCACGGCGTTTGCGTGGTCGCGGCGAATCCATTGTTATCGGGAATTTCGCACGTACTGGATGGCCCGGTTTTTTGAAGTCGGGGGTGGGCCTGATGGAGATGCGGGGAAGCTACACATGAGTCGTGGCTCTGCGGCGGAATCTACATTCGGCAACGGAGGACGCGACATTCGTCCCGCGGCAGACTTGGGGGCTTGCAATTGTCCAGCCAGAACACCCTGTATCGTTAGTGACCGTGAGTCGCACGTAAAAGTAAGGATGAAGATGATGCGTATCATTCGTCAACACGACCTAATGCCGTCTCATAGGAAAGTGACGCTAAATCCTGTTCGGACTGATGACCAGTCTGCTGCAACGAAGAATACTCAGTTTGGCGCGACATATTCGTTAATTGTAGGCGCAGTGTTGAGATCAAGATCAATGCCGAATTGCCCTGTAGCCTGCCCGTAGCTAGCCTTGACAGCCTCTGTTGCGTATATTCGCATCTCTTTTTCATATGCTTCTGTGACACCCGTCCATCTATCGCCATCGCCTCTCTCACAGGCTTCGGCTATCAATCGACCGAGCAGAGCCGAGTCGCGCACAGCTGTGTTTGCGCCGTTACCTCCTGCTGGCGTCATAGCATGCACTGCATCACCGACCAGAGTGACACGAGGGTCATTGGGCCACTTCGGTACACCTTCTGGTGACGAACATGTTATCTTCCAGAAAGCTGCTTCCGACTCGGCCATGTTATCGAAGAGTGGCTTGACACGATCATGCCAGTGCGATGTAAGTGCCTTTGCTATCTGTGCGGCAGGCGGCCCAGTAATCGTGTAATTGTCGTTCGGCGCTTTGATGACGCCTGGAGAGCCGATCATGGTCCAGCCGAAGTTGACGTCGGGCTTGTCCATGTCGCCTGCGCGCACGTTTGTGATGACGAAGACCTTGCCGCCGTTCGGCTGTGATGTATCGTCGACGAGGCGGAAGACACCTTCGCCCAAGGCCTTGAAGGCTGCTGTCGGGGCTTGTCCATGTATTCCTCTGGAACCGAGATCGTAGACTTTGATCGCCCCATTGGACAGCTGACCAGCGACTGCACTCTTGACACCCTCACCCCCGATCAGCATAGAGCCCTCCTCGGACTTGGTACCGTCGGCGAAGACTAGTCGCACACCATTGTCCGTCCTCTCGTAGGCTGCGACCTGATGTTTCCAAACCACACGGTCCTCGATGCCGTCCATGAACAGCTTGCGCATATCACCGCGCGACACTCCAACGACCTTGCCGTCTCTGCTGGTCAAAGGCTCGCTCTTGACGCTCGGAGCATCTCCACCTATTGTCTTGCCTGTCAGCGGGTTCACTGCCGCGAATCCAGCCCCGCCAGTTTTGCCGCAAGCGTCGTAGAACGTCTTGAATCCTGCCGGACCGAGCACTTGCTCAATGGCGTCCAGACCCTGCGCTGAGAGTCTCAGCCTATAACCCTGCGCTCTGAAGACGATGGACGCGTCGCGTTCGAAGACGAGGAACGGGATCTTGGAACGGTGCAGCGAGCGGGCGAGGAGGAGCGAGGCGAGGCCGGCGCCGGAAATGAGAATAGGCTTCGGAGCGCTCATGGTGGACGGTGAATTGATATGGGGGATAGACGGCGTCTGGAAGGGCGTGGCATGGCTACTGTTATAGCAGTCGCGCTTGGGGGTGAGGCAGGCGCGATGCAGTGCGTCAAGTGCATCGTTGGGCAAGTGGGGGCCGCGTCGGATCTCCTGGGCCGCCGAAGCAACGTGATTGCTAAGCTGCCACACTCAAATGCCAGTAAGCGACTGTGGCCTCTTTCCGCACGGCGACATTTATAATACCATGCCGCTAAGCCATGCTGATGTTCTAGTCTTACGCAGCACTCGGGGATGCAGCTGTGTTGGAGACCACGTGAAGACGCGTCAAAGCCTTGGGCCGAATCATGGCACCCGCGCAATCTTTGGCCCATCAATCATTGTTGAAATCCGTCGATTTGGTAGCATACTCTATGGATCCATGCAGTTCCCCTTCGTCATCACATAACGACGCGAACGTGCTGTGTCGCACAGTGACTACTACCGTGTTGGTGCTATGATGCCATGTAATCCATAATGTAGTCGATCTTCGGCTTCATGAGCAGCAAGTAATGCTCTTCCGGGATAAGCGCCATAGGTTCCCGAGCCACGAAGACAGCCCAACTAGACTCTTTGTCAAAACTCCACTCCCAACATGTAGACTCGAAATTGGGGGCGTTCGGGGCATCGTATCTCTGGAAATGGTCTTCTTTGAGCAACTCGCCGAGTAATCTGATGTACCCATAGGGCTCTTTTGCAACACGATGGTTCGGGAAGAGGAGCTTGACTTGTTTGACGTTGCGCAGACGTCTGAGCAGACCCACGAGGGCTGTCCGGTTGGTAGAGTTGTCGAGTGGCATTACAAACTGTAGCTCATCGAGATGCATACATTGCCTGTTCAACGGGTGCTCGTACCATTTCCCGATGGTCTCATGGTCGCAGTGAATCCTCAACTTCTTTACATCTTGTAGAAGCTCTTCGACTTGCTGACCGGCAACTCGTGTGGAGTTCCTGGCGAGCACAAAGAGGGTACTGTGGATGGCAAGGCGACGGAACTCAGCGTTGAACTGGCGGCAAACCAGCCGTATCGCAAGGTTGGTACTAGCTTTGTACCTCTCATCTATCGTAGAACAAGTTCGTCCCTCATTGGACTCGTGGTGTTTCGTGAGTCCCGCGTCAGATTGTTCCAGCGCGTATGCGACAATCTCTAGGCGGAGCTCGATAGGTAAAGAGAGAAAGGTCGCCTTTGAGGCGGTGTGAGACATGACGTGGTGCCACAGGGGGTTAAGACAGCGAGTATGGCCGCTGCGTAAACTTTGTGCTCACAGACACTGGCCATTTGCAAGCTCGAAGCAACAACCCAGCTGACGCGAAAGAAGCGCGCCTGATGCCAGCGCGGGCCCGTGCGTAGACATCTGATAAGATTTCACGACCCCGCCAATCTCCGACTCCGAGCTTGCGTCGCCCCATCTTGTACCTCATCGCGTCCACTCATGCGCACTTCATCCATCTCCATCATTCTGTACACGCTTACAGGTGCATCACATGCTTTGTACTCGGGAAAGTACTGCCCTTTGGCATGTGAGACCGGCGTCAACTATGTAACCTTCAACGACACCGACCCTTCGCTTTCGAGCAAGATCCGAGGATGCCAAAGTGAATTACGCCTCACATCACTGTATCTGTGCTTCGACGAGTTCTGCATACAGAACGGTCAGACAGAAAAATGGATCGAGAACCAGAAACCCTGGTGTGAAGCACACGCGAACATTACATTACCTTCCTTTCGCGATATTCTGGACCAATGGACCCCTGACGACAAGGCTAGAGTGACACGACTGTCGGCTGAAGAGGCACTGAGTTTTCCAACCATTGATGAAGTTGTGATACCAAGTGATGAGCTTGTAAGGCGAGCTTTCACCACCATGGTACGTTCCTGCCTGTACGGCCGATAAGACTATGGGGTGCTAAATGTGGCGTACAGGAAGCGGCATTCTGGGAATACGAGATCCATCTCGTGTATGGGTAAGTCGAGCCTGTACCCCGTTAGGCGCGACTTCGCTAATATAATACCCATAGCTGGTACATGTACTACTTCTGGCTCGTAGTAGTGGCCGTTGGTGTAACGACGCGCATACTGTCACTTCTACGCAGTGAACAGCGCCACAAGTCATACAAAACAATCCCAGAAGTCGAATCCGGCCGGATTTCTGGACCTCGAAGTCCCTTGGTTTCCCTCCGAACATGGCTGAGGCGATACGTTACTACACCTGCCGCTTTTGGTGATCGTTGTTCTCGACCGTACGGCTGGTGTACCATCCCACCACGGATCCAGTCGCTTACCATCTTTCTTTTTGTCGCGCTCAACGTTGTTCTCTGCAGCTGCTCCTACCGTCTCACCGAAGGCAACCTTTATTGGCCGAAGAAGTCAGTGCAATTCCTCCGTTTTGTTTCGGATCGTACGGGAATCATATCGCTCGCGAACTTCCCACTCGTCTGGCTCTTTGGTATGCGCAACGATCTTTTGATCTGGGTGACTGGATGGGGTTTCGGTACCTACAACGCTTTCCATCGGTGGGCGGCAAGGGTTGCCACAGTACAAGCCGTAGTGCACAGTGTGGGATACACGCTGATGATACTGGAGCGCGGAGGATGGCCATCTTTCCTAAACTACTGGACGAAGCACTACTTTTGGAACGGCGAACTGTCAACCATCGCCATGTGTGGTCTTTTGGCGTTCTCGTTCTACGGTATCCGCCGTGCGCACTACGAGTTCTTCCTCGTCACGCACATAGCGCTCTCGATCGCAACCCTCTGGACTATGTACTACCATGTTGAGATTTTCACTAATGGCGAGTGGAACATATTCATCTGGCCATGCGTTGGTGTCTGGGTCTTTGACCGGATCATGCGCCTCTCACGAATCTTAGCTTTCAACCGCAGCCCGCTGAGTACCAAGGCTAGGGTTACTTATGACCCTAGCAGTAACCTCGTGCGCATGGAAGTCGATAGTAGTAAGAGCTTAGTAGCCCCAAGGCCTGGCTCTTACTACTACATCCACGTGTTGGATGATCTGTTCTATGCACATCAGAGCCATCCGTTCACGCTGGCATACAGTTCAAAAGATACGGACAATCCTCCATCTACGCCACTATCGCCGCTTTCAGCGAGGCCGGAACACTCGCGTACTTCATCAGCCTCAACCACAGAGTCGGATGCACTCCTTTCGTCTAAAGCCTCAGATGCCTCATCGAACATGGTGTTCCTTGTCCGACCGTACGACGGCTTCACATCCCGATTGAAGTCACATTGTCTCTTGCATCCCAAAAGACTCCACATCCTTGTGGAAGGGCCTTATGGACATACTGTTCCTCTCCGCAGTTCACAAAACATTTTGTTTGTAGTCGGTGGAACGGGTATCGCAGTCCCGCTATCACACCTAGCCCACGTTCTGGCCAGTACATCACGTGTACGGAGTGTGAAGATTGTATGGGCAGTACGCGAGTACGCGTTCCTCACTTCTGTTCTCCGCGACTTTAGAGGCTTGTTGGGTGATGAGAGAGTCGAGATGGAAGTGCACGTCACTCGGGATGATGAGGCAAAAGACGATGTGTTGGGCGAAGACCTGAAGAGCGTGAGAATCATGGCACACAGACCGGACGTACATGAAACAGTTCAAGAGGCTGCTAGAGATGCGGGCCAGCAACGTCTGGCGATTGTGGCTTGTGGGCCAGCTTTGATGGCGGATCAGGCTAGGAAAGCGAGTGTCCAGATGTTGGATAAAGGTTATAGAGGGGTGGAGTACTTTGAAGAAAGCTTCAAGTGGTAGAACGTACGACATTAGACTGATTCGATGGATTCAACTCGTCCTCAACATTGTCCCATTTTACACATCTGCTTTCTCCTCTGTTCTTTTGAGTCGGATATACCACTCCGCGACCTCTCTCACGCTATCCTCTAGCCCCCTGATCTTGCCACCATTCAGCAGCATCTTCTCAGTCATGCTTGATTCGACGCGGAATGGCATGTTGATGGGCACCTTCTGGCGTCCCACTCTGAACGCCCCAGCCTTGACCTCCTTCGAAAAGTCCCGCTCGATCATGTCCGCCACAGAGTTCCAGAGTTTGTCCCCATCTGACCCCTCCTCCACCGTCCCAGCGGCAACATACCACTTGGGCAGGTCCTCGCCTCTAACCCTCCCATCTAGTGCCTCGATATGAATGCGAGCGCAGTCTTGCACATGCACGAAACCAAACGCATACCGCGGGGCTATATCATCGAACAGCAATGCCTTGCTCTGTCGATCCATATGCGCACGTGCTTGCTCCGACGTTTTGCAAAACTCCGCAGGGCCAATAACGGTACCGGGTATGATTTGCGCGATAGAGAAGGGGAGCTCGTGGGAAGCTTGGAGATCAGCGAGGTAGGTCATACATTGGGCTTTTGCGGAGCAGTAGGCGTTATGAGGGGATTGGAGAGGGGGTCGGTATGCGAGGGATGTTTGCGAGACCTGAACTGCCTCTGTATCGGTCAGTAAGACGCATGAAGTGAGGCGCGAGGGCAGAAGCAAAGAGACGTACCGTTCAAGACGCGTTCCATACGCGTACCCAGTGTATCGCCGTCTTCAGAGTCAACAAGCCCCGCTCCAGCCTGCGTGAATACCATCCTCTTCACTGTGCCAGACTTCCGCCCTGCTTCTATCAAGCCCCTCGTCGACCTGATGTATGGATGGTAGATGTCGTTGTCAGGATCCAGATGGAGCATCGGCCATGCTCCTGCTATGTGCACAACATAGTCGACACCCGCAACAGCTTCATCGTATGCTCCCTTGACCGCATTGTCTGGCACGGCGACGTATTCGATTAGGTCGAGGTAGGGCTGCACAGAGGGCCCGGTTTTGATCGTTTCGATGGCGGAGGCGCGGCGCACGATGCACCGGACTCGATAGCCAGTTTGCAGCGCGTAGACCACACAGGCATAGCCTATTGTTCCGTTTGCGCCCGTTATCTAGGTACCCAGTCAGTTTCGTTGCGCTGGGGATGATGGAGATTGACTTACAGCGACAAGGCCTCGAGCTCCGCGATCGGCCGTCATGCTTCAGTGCCGCGACGGTGAAGTTTCCCAATATCGCGAATACTTCGGGCCTGGGTCAGAAGCTTGGAAATACATGGTTGATATGGGAAATGTCCGAGTCTTACTAAGATTCTTGCCGTTGGAGTGCAGCTTGGATGAATGGGAGGGCAAGCCGGGCCAAGCCGTTCCGAGCAGCGTTCCGATATCCCTCGGCATTTGGGGACGTTGAGCTGGTCGTCATTGGACGTTTATCCACCAACACCCCTAATCCACGCGATCATTGCGCGAAGGGAGCTTTATTATGCCTAACTTGCCTCCTTTCCATACAACAGATGGTTGGGATATTGGCTGAAGACACGTGTATTGGAACACGACAGCACGCAATCGCGAAGCTTTCCTCATGCCGCCATGAGAAGCTCAACATCATCGTCGTACGCTCCAGAACCCACGCGCGTTTCGTATCACGGGCATAAACTGGCGCCACCGGGCAGGCTGGAGCCTTTTCAGGCGACCTCGCCACTGTCCTCGCTCTCAGAGCACCTACACGCGCGCACGATGCCACGCTCCTCGAACGGAACCCGACCGCACTCGTCCACAACCAAGGTGCCGGGATCGTTGTAGGAAGCAATGTGCGCGTATCCTTCGAGCGTTATGATAGATGTAATTGCGGCTTGGCTGTTCCACGACTCGGAGGCAGCAGTTGGACAAAATGGCGAGCTTAACCATCAAGAAGATATGACAAGTTGGCATCTGGCATGCTACATGCCTATACAATGGCAAGCAATAGCCAGGCATACTGGCATGCTATAAGTTCGGCGGATACGAGCGACGGGATAGTAAGCCACAGGGAGCGGGGGCAGGACACAGCAGAGAGAAGCATGAAGTTCGGCAGTTCTAATCAGCATCAACAGTTGCCGCCGGATGCCCATATATATACATCGAGAAGAGATGTTGCCAGCATGGCCAATCGATAAGCTGAAGTAGCTACAATAATAACGCGGCATTCTGCAAGCTTCCCTTCTTTTAGGACCAGTCGCCTTCATCCTCAACCACTTCGCCACGTTCCGAGGCCCCCAGCAGCCCGCGGACGGTCCACGGTCTGTACTCATATCCCGGCGGTATGTTCGTGTTCAAGAACTCGACACCCGTGTCCAAATGCTCAGCACACTTGTGGTAGTTATCGTAAACGTACTTCTCGGGGTTGTGACAGACCAACCAATCTCCGACCATCTTGTGTTGCTTTGTCGGCGCCGCCTTTTCGTCTTTCCAGTCGGTGTTGTGAAAGATCTCACGATTCTTGAATCCTAGCTTCTGCGCGCAGGATACTCGCTCGTACCTACAATTTCGAAGTTAGTCGCTGGTGTTTCTCCACGATCTATATCGGCATACCTCAGCTTATTGTGCACCTTGGTTGCAAGCGCAACGTTTTGCTTCCCGGCAACATGTAGACAGGCTGCTAGCGAGTACGCGTCTTCCATGGCCATCGTGCCGCCACTGAACGACGTAGGCAAGAAGGGATGGGCAGCATCGCCCAGCTGCACGACATGGCCGCCTTTCGACACCCACTGCGGCTGTGGATCACGCCACATCAGCTTCCAGTCGAGCACCTGATTGTTCGGTGTCGCCTTGATCACCTCCGTAACAAAAGGATCCCAATCTTTTACAACATCCAGAATCCTATCCGTGGAAGTGGTTTTCGACCAGCTCTCTGTTGCCGTACCGTTCTCATCCTGATAGAAGTTAGCAACGATCTGCAAGGCCAATGAAGCAGCGACCACAAACCTTGCAAGTCAATAGATAGCACAGCTCGCCCTTGTCATGAGAAATAACCATGTGCGCGCCAGGACCAATATACATGAAACCACGGTGATCGTGCCCCAGAAACTCCCTCGCAACAAGGGGATACTCGTCCATCGCCGGCCCAGTAGGAAAAGAAGTCCGGTAGACAACAAAGCCAGAACTAATCGGCTTCTCTCTATTCCCGTCGATGATCTCGCGGGACCTAGAGCCTACACCATCTGCGGCTACCACCACATCTGCAGTTATCCTCTGACCACTTTTGAGAATAACACCGCCTGATGTGTTTGAGTCAAAGTATGCGTCCACTTTCGCGTCGTACGTGATGGGTATACCGAGCTCTTTGACGTAGGTATTCAGCAAACTATGCAGCCTCTTTCGGTAGATGCTCAAAGACGGATTTGCAGAGTCGCCAGGAGCATGGTGTTGGATGAATGTGCCGTCGTATTTGCGCAGGTCAAAGGTCGGTGGCGATGCGAGGGCCCTGAGGCGTTCTAAGAACCCTGGCCATTTCTTGGGCGTTTCGAGCGCTGAGCTGGTGATCATGATGATCTCACCTGTCGGTTTGTTAGTTTGGTTCGTTTGGAGGTCGATAGTTGGATGGGGTGGTACATACCGGAGTATTGACCTTCGTCATTCCGTTCAAGAACGCGCACATCGTGTCCTTTGCGGTGGGCCTCGATTGCAAATGTGAGTCCGCCGATGCCGCCTCCCACGACGAGAATGTCGATACCGGTTCTTGGTTCTCGTTTCATTTGGGGTTCCTGGATGTGTGGCATGTTTGATGCTGTTGTTTTGTTCGATGTGGCATTCTCTTCGCATAGATATACTTGAACATTTCTCACACGCCCCAGGGCTTTCATTGCAAACGGCGCAACAACATACCGGCGGGCGAAAGACTACGGACGGTTGAGGCGGACAGATCCGACAAAATTTCATGGACAGGTCCGCGTTGATCCCTTGGTGGGCCTCGCCTGCCCTGAGGGATGCGATGTTGCATCCGTTCACAAACGCCCCTTCCGGCGTCCCGAAGCTAGCTTCTCTTAAGCTTCTCAGGCATATGGCTACGTGCGTGAACCAAGGCTAAGCACAAACACATCTAGTACTGGCGGCGAAAATGTCTACGTTGGGTGGCAAGGCATTGTACATCATGTACGATGGCTTGTACAAACGCGGGCCCACATGGCAGTGGTAACATCGTACTATTCTCCACACGGCCATGCGATCAGAGATTGTGGGATGAGTATCAGCGTGACTCTGATTGATTTCAACATTAGACCAGTATGTGATGTCGACACTCGTGATTGACAAAGCCGATATCGCGAAGACATCTCTCATATCGGGTCTACTGGGCAATAAACTACGTTTGCATCTGTTTCTGCATCTCCTGCACAACGACTGCTTGAACCTCGCGCATATGTTTACTCACTATCGCGCCGCCGTATCCACCTTCCAGATCGTCGAGAAGATCTTCGCTGCCCTTGGGGAAGATGCCTACGCTTCTTCCACACAACTCTTGAACCGAAGCAAACCTCACCACAGCATCCACGACTCTGTCCATGGATACAAATCCTATGATGTTAAGAACAGCGCCGTTGTCCTCTACAAAGTCGGGTTGCTTGGCGATGCCGGTATCCACGTACCAGGGTGCAACAAGATTGATGCGGATCGAAGAGTGCATGGCGCGCTCGCGTAGGCTGTACAGAAGTCCTCGAACACCGAACTTGGACATGCTGTATGTGGTGCTATATGGGTATCCAATGTAGGCTGCAAGCGAGGCGATGAGAACGATGCTGGGCTTGAAAGTTGTTGCTGCTGTGCGCGGGAGGCGGAAGTGATGTAGTGCCAGATAGCAGGTATTGTATACTGCCTGAAGGTTGACGGACACGCAAGCAAAGCTTGGAGGAGGTGGTGGTGTGTCTCCTGGGTTTGGCAACGTGGCTGGCACCATGTCGAAGAGATTCTTCTCGGCAAGGATGCCTGCATTTGGGATCACCACATCAATCTGCCCTCCATAGTGTATTGCAGACTGAAACATGGAGGCTTGGTCTTCGTAGGATGTCATGTCGCATTGTACGAACTGCACCCTGAGGCCTCGAGTGGTTAGATCTGCAGAGGTGGGAGTACCAAGTTAGTATGTTTATCACATGCAATTTGCATGGTCAGAACTTACCCTGAATGACGCCCCCAGCCGTATCGTGTAGATCAGCCATGGTGACTATTGCGCCTGCTTCGGCCATCTTCATCGCGCAGGCTAGACCAATGCCAGATGCTGCGCCAGTGAGAAGCACCGAACGATCTTTCAGGTTGGATGTATCTAGCACACTGTTAAAGTCGATGGGAGTGGCCATGGTTGGAGTAGCGGTGTTCGCCATGTTGATCAAAGAGTGGCAAGTAGAAGGTTGTAGGCGTAAAACAATGATGCTTAGTCGAACGCAATCGCCTGGTAGATAAGTGAAGAATCGACGTCGCGCAGACGCTACGCAGTAGAATGCAAGGGTGGATAGCGAGAGGCTACAAAGCTGGGAAAGTGGCCAAGCAATCAGTGACGCTGGGCACAACTGAGAATCCCATGGTTGCCCAAAGAGACGCATGCGAGCAAATCGGGGCAAAGTTCAACATCTCGATGGGGGCTGCAGGAGGAGGCGGGGTTTGCCAAGATACAGTATGTCATGCGGGGAAGGAGCTACTCCATCACCAAACACACCCGGCCCGGGCAATTATTAGATTGCCGTTGAGTGAGGCATCGATCATGAGTGGGCCGATGAGTGCTCGTTTACAGCGGATATGTCCGACGTTCCAAGCTGGTACGTACGCATGGCACCCCGCCAGAGCGTAGCATTTGATCGGGGCAAAAGGTGCTTCTGAGGAGAGTTGCATCGGGATCGCATCAACCCAAAGTAAATGACCAGTTCCACTCTCTTACCACCTCTTCCCAGTCCCTTCTTTGCCCACCTTCAAGCTTCGGTCGCCACACTTCTTTCAACACCTTTTGGACACATTCAACGTTCTCGTACCGATTCCTATTCTGGATATCCTCTAGCCTCTGGAAGCACTTCTCGATGGCCGCTTCATCGTCTAGCTCGGCTCCAGCGAGAAATATTGGGTAGAGCAAACTTGACTCCGCGGCGCTTCCCGGTGGTATACGAGCGATAAACTCCATCGCGCGTGATGCACAGCCCGCAATATTGGCTGAATGGCTAGGCGAGGTGCGGTAGAGCTGAATGAGAGCTGCTAAACGGTAGGCTTCTGCCAAGGCGATGAGGTCGAGAGCTATAGGAGTATCGACGCCAAGTGCAAACGGGTTGTCGTAAGCCCAATTCTGTATACCCTTCTCGATCACGTTGAAAGACGCTTCGGTAGCGAGGGGAAACGCGGGACTCGAAGAGGTGACATACTGTATCCGTGAAATCAGGTCGCATAGCTGGTATGAAATGCCCATGAGCGGGTCGATTGTGCCTGGCATTAGGGCGGCGCTGATTGGTATCAAGCCCTGCTCTGCCGAACAGGCCTTTCCGGCGTTTGACACCCGCGCCATGAGCGAAGCAGAGGCGAAGTGGTAAGTGAAGTGTCGATGCAGAGAATCAACTTCAACACAGTCCATGATGCTCTGTTCCGGAGTGAGCGCACTAAGTATCCGTTGCACACTCTTCAGTTGCGATATCCATCTCGTAGTCTTGACACCGTTGAGTGCTTCTAGTCCTACCAGGATGAGAATTACCGCAGTGACCTGGTAGGTATCTTCTGGTAACCCACCCGACGGGTTCAAGCGCTCCTTGATGAACTGATAGCACTTCCTCTCGTGGCGGGAGGATACGGCGCGAAGATGTTTGGCGCGTTCTGCGTCCTGGCTTCGCCTCGCCAACTGAGCAGAAGATATAGCCAGGATAGCGTCAAGCATACCTTCGATCTGGAAAGACCAAGGCATGTAGAGGCTGGTGTAGAAACTCGTTGCAATAGGTGCTACTTGGACACTGGGTACAAACGCCTCGATGTAATACTGCAACAAATGCATCCGCTCCGCTCCTTCGTCGCCCGGTAGTGCATCCCATGGATCAAGAGACGAGCGCAGTGGGACTGCGACCTGGCGCTCCGGGCTCTTTGAGCTTGACTGGGACGAAGACGATTCCGAAACGATACTTCGTGGAGTTTGCCATTCGCATAACAGGTTGAGGCGCTTGCAGTTCGCACACTGAGGCTGGGCGCTATCGCACCTCTTCCGCCGGGTTCGGCATGTAAGGCAGCCCGTCCGTGACCTTGGCGCGAATTTGCGTTGACGCGGCTTGGATTCAGCCATGATCTGATGGATAGAAGTGCTGAGAGGAGCTTGATTCGGATAGTCACCGAGGGGACATGGAGACGTGCATCGTTGCGGGTGTGTTATTGGCAAAGATAGCTGAAGATTGAGTCAGTCAGATGCCGCGATCGCGGGTGCGGTATCGATAAGGCGTGACTAATCGGAGCATGCACCTCCGAAGGGCGACAGATGCATGGTCATCCACTGCTATCAACCTACGTCAACCGCAATTCACGCGAAGCTCGGGTCGAAACCATCGTATTTCGCATGCGCGAAGGATTGCATCCTACAATGGAGTTCCTTGGCCGCTGTGGCAGACCGCGCCTCCATGCGAAGAGACCACCCACGCCGTCGATGCTCCCACGTGCAGCTGGTTCCTGAGCATCCTTACCGCCTTAGGAAGCATCGCCAGAACTCATCTCCGAGGCTAAAGCAGGTGCTGAACTTGACAACACCACGATCAATCAACATGTCGGGTATAAAGATGATAGGCGTGCGCTCTATTCCTATCTGCACTTCGGAGCTCCTCTCATTTCTTAACGGTAATCATGAAGCTTCTTGCTCTTTCTCTCGCCGCTAGCAGTGCTGCTGTTGCAGCCCAAGACAACTTCAATGTCTTCCAGCATATCGGCGGCAACGGACAATGGTTCCCCGGCGAAGAGGTGGCGGGCATTTCGTCCGATATACCTACAGGATGCAAGGTCGATCTGGCAGGTAGGGCAGCTTGATACCGCGATTGAAGAATGCCAGACTAAGAACACATAGCTTTCTTCTCCCGTCACGGTTCGCGGTTCCCAGACCGGTAACTACTGCACGCGCTGTACATGAGGCATAGGCTGACTTTGTCTTTTTACTTTTATAGTGGCGCCTACAATGGGTGGGTTGAATTCGCCAATTACATCCAAGCCGCCGGAGACATCACCATCACCGACGAGAAGCTCGCGTTCCTCAAATCCTGGAAGCCGGTCCTCTCAGACCCGGACGCTCAAATCGCTAATCTGAGCCCGACCGGCTGGAAAGAACTACACGAGATGGGTACAACGTGGCGCCTTCGTTACCCCGACCTGTACAAGTACAACACCGCTTTTACTATGTGGGCAAACTACTATACGTCTGGTCCACGCGTTCGGGACAGCGCACGCCTGTTCGCTCAAGGTTTCGTGGGGCCCAACGCTACAGACCTCACTACAATCTATGCTCTCAACGCGAGCGACCCTGCCAGTTGGGGCAACACTCTTGCTCCCAGCGACCTGTGCAATGCCTACAACGACGCGGGTGGAGGTCCTGCCAAGGAGACGTGGGACTCTATGTACCTTCCCCCGATTGCCGCTAGGCTCAACGGGAAGATCCAAGGCCTGAACCTCACAACGAGTCAAGTCGACCAGATACCCTACTTGTGTGGATTCGAGACGCAAATCACCGGCCGTCGAAGCCCCTTTTGCGATATCTTCACGCAGGAAGAGATCTTGCAGTACGAATATGCGCAGGATTTGCGTTATTGGTACGGCACCGGTCTGGGATCCGATATCGAGAAGTATCAGATGTTGCCTATCGTTGACATGACTGTGCAACGCTTTGTCGATGGTCCAGACGCAACCTACAAGACGGGCAATGGCACTTTTGTCCCTCCAAAGATCATGGCCAATTTCGCAAATGATGGCCAAATCAACCAGCTGGCCGCTGCGATCGGTGTTTTCGACAACCGACAGCAGCTTCCTGGCAACATGTCGTTGTCGGACCGACTCTTCCGCTCCTCTCAGGTCGTGAAGATGCGCGGAACTGTTGCATTCGAACGCCTCTCTTGTCCTGCTGCTGCCCACAACAGCACATATGGCTCTGGCTATGCAGCCGACTACAACGGCACCGCCCCTGAAGAAACTTTCATGCGCATCCGCATTAACGAGGTTGTCTACCCTGTTGTGGATTGCACCAGTGGTCCTGGCTCATCTTGCCCCCTGTCTCAGTACCAAGATATCATCAAGGCGAAGCGTGCAGAGGCCGGTGACGTGACCAAGCTGTGCAACATGACGGGCGAAGGCCTTGCGGCACAGCCAAAAGCAACCTTTTTCTTCGACAACACACTTCCGTGGCAGACAGTTGTTAAGCCCTAGACACAAAATCAGGTGTTCGATAGTCCAAAATGATAATTTTCATCGCTGACGTTCCCACGTATGCTTCTGTGCCGCTTGATGTGTTTTTGTGCCGCGATAAGGCTGTTGTCAACGTTGCGCAATTGACGTGGGCCACACTCTCTACCCCAAGCACGGTCGAGTTGCTGAGATCGCAAGGCTCAACGTGCATCGCATTCATACAGCGGCTTCGGCCACCGACGATTGACATGTACAGGGCGCGCGCGTTCGTCACTAGGACGCGCCAGCCCCACTTTCCAGCTATTGGATCGCGCCTGTGCACAAGACGCACGCCCTACACCCCAATGACCCTGTTCCGCTCTTTACGCAAGCCAACCTGTACACCATGCAAGACAGATTACCAACAAGAGCTTCAGAAACGTACGGCGCGACCCTGCGGCGTCGTTGGCATGTGTCGATGTGACCTGGCTCTCGTACGACTAGCCTTTTACACCCGTGCCTCAGGAGTACAACACTCGCACCGCGCATTCTTTGCTACCCGTCGGGAAGTCCACATGCATTAGCGTATTCCGGGAGAAAGTGGCTCCAGCGCAAGTCTCCCATTGGACCCATCTGGCGCAATGCTGGCGTCAAACTGTCTCCACATTGCGCCTCGCAGGCGTATGGTCATGTTCTCGACAAGCAAAGCCGCTGAAACAAGCCTCTCACGCCTTTCAGGTCAATTACCGAAACAGTCAGCACCGCGACGGCAAAGTCATGTTGGTCCATGGAGTCATAGGGTGTGCGATTCTCGGATGTCTGAATCGGTACAGTGGCCTGAGCTGTGGGGTGAGTATAAAGGTGGTGTTGTACGCAGCTGAAGTGATCTAGACATTACCAGCACATTCTTCTTCTTACAGCGTGGGCTCAAACAAACCGACAGATTTGGTACCGGTCCCACAGAAAGGAGAAAGCACCCTGATCCACAATAATCAAACGAGTACGTTTGCCATCATACTCGACACGCAAGCTTCAAATCGGCATCAACATCGGCGTATCGAGCAAGGCTCATACATACACCACTACACCGCCTCTAGAGCCATCTGAATCGAAAGAAACACGCCCAAGTTCTCGTATATCGAAGATGTCAGGCTCTTCCGCGACGACTCCTCGCACTTCTTTCGAATACATCAAGACACCAGTCCAGGCATCTTCATCATCGACGTCTGTTGTTTCGTCATCGGCATCTACACTGAAGGAACCGAGCAAAGCTCGGGGCCTCTGGAACTCCATCAAGCGCCACGCGAAAGAGCACCATGAGGGCATGAACGCAGCATATGCTACATACTATGGCTCAGGCGCAGGCGCGATTGCGAACGAACAAGGGCAGGAAGTCTGGGAATATCGAAGAGGAAGCAAGCAGGGAACGACGGACATGAAGCGATAATAGTGACAGATGTGTTGGCATGGTTCCGCGTTTCAGGGTTGGATTCAGCAGCCTCAGCATGCTGCATGAGGCTCATGTGCTTCGATTGTATGTACTAGGGGGTTATTCGGCGTTGGAGTTGATGCGTGTATACCTGTTTTCTTCCTGGAAGTACTATTTTTTGCCGAATCGTATGATGACTCTTAGTCGCTTTACTTTGTGGCGTCGCTGCTGAACACGGCAGCGGTATGTGATTCGGCTCACAGGGGAAGTGCTGTTATAAGGCTTCCAACCCAGGACAGCCCGTGGACTTTTCCTAGACCCTCTTTGTGTTCGCCCGGAAGGGCGTATTATGGATTATCCTTGCGCTTCATTGGTGCACATGCGTTGAAACTATCATTACTACGCAGACCAGCGGATAAAACTCAATACAGCCGCCTCCAACATGCAACTATGCTATCTACTCCTGGCTCCTTTCTACTAGATCTTCGATCCCGGTTCTAACTCCCTCGATGATGTCACGCATGAGCTGCTTTTCCACGGCATCCTCAGCCCAGCAGAAGTTCAACGTCGCGTTTCCATCGCCACCTGTTACAACATTGAGTTTCAAAGCATTGGCCACAATATTGGGAGATTGGCTGAACACCATCCGACCGACAGTCCATACTCCTTCACTCTGAGTATGCTTCCAGACTCCTGCACTTGACAATTCTGCTGCAGACTTGCGAGGCTTACCTAATTTGTCGAAGAAATGTTGCTGCATAGAAGAGATGTATTTCAGCAGCGCAACGGGGTTATCGACGCCAGACTTGGCGACTTCTGTGGATATGGTGGATTTCACTGCGCGTGCAGTGTCCCATGAGAACTGCTGTAAGACACTCAGTCCTGCTGAATCTTTGAGTCTGGGTTCTCGAGATGCGACGCGCTCGTGAAGGTAGGCATATTCGGCAATCGTCATGGTCATCTGCTGTGCCTCCACATTTAGGAATTTCTTTATCGATATCGGGCCTTCAATGTGAAGCCTCTCACAGTCTTCTGCTGAAAGGCAGGTGAAGAGTGACGCGGCGAGAAGGCATTGTAATGTTGCTGTTACGCTTGTCTTTTCAGATCGGCTGACTTGAGCCAGCTTGTCCGTAGTCGCTTTCGACAGGACGAGCGTGCGATAATGTGGTGGCGGAATCGGCGTAGCGTTCGGCTGTATAGCGTTGCCCGCCCATAGCTTCGGAGGTCGCTTTGCGAATACCGAGGGTAACAAGGCACCAAGAATGGCCTTGATGAAGTAAGGCCACGTTATAGTCATTGGATGTAAGTCCTCTAATGGCGGCGCTAGATCCGCAGACGAAGATTTGACAATCGCATCTGCGATGCCTTCCGGAGTGTTGAGGCCAGCCAGGAATGATTTGTGAAACGAGAAGGCTGACGTTCCGTCTGCTAGCGCATGATGCCACATCCACGTCGCCGTGAACTTGGATGTGTCTTGTGCTGAAGTCAGGACCAGCAGCCGCCAGAAAGGCTTCGAGCCTATGTTGTCCTTAAAATCGCGGCTATGCTGCTGCACTAGGTATCGATCGAGCTCTTCGTCCGCCTCGCCATCGTTTGGGAATGGTGTCTTTCTCTCGCATATCTCTATGCAGGTACGTAGATCGATCTCAGGGAGTTGCGCGAAGTATACGTTGGGATAGGATTGATCTTCATTCAGCGTGATGGTCGTCAGGACCGGGTGCTGGGCAATAACTTTTCGGAGCGCAGTATAGATTCGCAGTTCGAGCGATGATTGAGAGTTCTTTGATGCCACATATTCTGCGGTAAAGCCAACGTTCTTGTAGAACCCGAGATGGTGTCGCGCGGTGCTGTATGTTTCTAGTCTGCCGCATGGGCGCAGCTTCTTGAGGTTTGAAAGGTCGGCCATTCTGTACAGGCGGGAGCGGCTCTGAGGAAGCAAGAGAACTCATGGGTATCGCAGCATCCTACAGACAATATGTAGATCTGTAAATCCCTCACACTCGCAAGGGACGCCGCAAGGGGATGGACGGATTACCAATGCAAGTACTGACTCGTGTCGCAACTCAACAGAGGACAGCGCGGCGAGAGCTCTTGCTACATCATGAAGAGTCGGACGTTCATCGCTGGCGAACTCCGCCTACTACGTACTCTCGTATACCCGTGGCTAGCTATACTGATGGTGTTGTGTTGATGCATTTGTTGTGGCATCGAACGCCGCCAAGATCAGGCAGGTGCTCCTACCTAGGTAGCTTTCCGACGGAATCATTCCCGGTTTTCCTACCTAGGTACGTTCGTGCATTGAAAAACACGACCAACACGACAAACACAATTCAACACATGACGACAGAGTCGCGAGACCCACCTGACAGTCCAACGGAGGGCTTCTTGGCTAGCTTTTGTCCTCCTACTATAGGGCTGAAGGATCAATTCAACCCCAAAGATGGGTTCACGACATGCGCAAGCGTGCACCAACGGCATGGGTCCAACATTAACCGGGGGCCAAAAGGACTAATGGGGCAAGCACCATACCTTGAGCGGCATAACACCACATCGACGGGCTCTGGAAGGTCCTCGTATCTGGAAATGCCCTCTAACCGGTATGATGAGTTCCCCAATCACGGCAGTCCTACAGAAAATGTATGCCTCCCGGCTTCAGCCTCGGATCGCCATCGCTTCAGCCACAGGCAGGCCGTGACTTTGATATAGAGAGAGCGATGAGATCAATGCTTCACACGGCGAGTGCATCGCTGTCCTGCCATTACCGGCCACCATGGCTCCCTACCCGACGCCTCTCGAGGCAACATTCACGTTGGATGCACGACTGGACTGGAAACTGGAGCCACGATCAACAGACAACGAGTCACCACCGTCCAAGAGTCCAGCAGAAGAAAGAGCTGCTGCCTCGATGTTTATTGGTATATGTCTGGCCGTCACATTTGTACTCGCAGCGCCTATAGTATGGGTATGGCTTGCGGATCGAATCAGAAGGCGGAAACTCGATCCGTTCAGGAAACTTAGGGATCTAGAGCGCGAACGGAAGCGCCCCGGAATTGATCCACCTCCTTATGCCAAAGCACCGCCCAAGGATTCGATATGGGCGAGGCAGGAGAAGTATGCAACCAAGAAACCGCCGAGAGTCATCACGGCCGATCAGGTTCTGGGCATCGACAAACGATCCTACCTGCAACGCATCATCCCTCAGAGTGGTTGGTCAACTCCATGCTTTGTCTTGGAGCTTCCATTGATATGTAGCTATAGAAGGATCATCACAACTACTCACCGTAGCGCCTGCACATTTTGGCTGGGCTAGACAAGCCGCCACTTCTTCGGTGGACGAGCAATACATCAGCCCATGGGACGCAGAGCATACCCCGAATCCAGTCATTTTTCCATGGCTCCAAAAGAAACGTCCATTCCAAAACGACATCACTAGCGAAAGCTCGGAGAGACTGCAGGTCATGGCCATGAGCAATACTTCATCACCACTTTTAGTCTCACCAGCGGGGCCCTCCTCATATGCTCAAGCTGACAACCCCTTCCTTGACTCCCCCACAGAATACACAAGCTCTCCACCTGACAGTGAGCAATCTTACGAGCCTTCAGAAACAGCTCC